CTGGGTTGGTGCGTCGCCAACTTATCTGCGAGAACATCCTGAACTTGATTACGTGCATAGAATCGATCATCGGTTGAAAGAACAACAGTATATGATCAAAATGATTGTGCAAAGATCATCTCTCTCGTCTACACCTACAATCTTCTAATTGATATCAGCATAGAATATACATAGCTGTCAGCCAGGAATATCTTTTGGGCAGACATTGTACCAGTGAGACAAGTATTTTGAACTAAGACACGCACAAGTGTCTGATGTATGAGAAAGGCATTTTACCGGAAGATTATTTAGAATTTCGTACAGTTCGCTATACATTGCTTAAAAATAACCAGAATATGACTATTCTCTCACAAACTTTTTAGCCTTGACGTTTTAACGTCGTCGGTTTCTCCACTGAAGACATTTTACATGCATAGTTCGTATGATGCATATATTTATGAGAATAAATAAATGCGCAGGTAACGTTGAGATATTCACCGATCTTTCCAATCATTGTATTGGGCATGATTTTGTTGAAAAACTTCCATTGTTTCATACAGCCATTGCCAGATTCGATCACCCACCTAACTTTGGTGATTAACTGTGTCTGGTTCGCTTCGATGGTCGTATACTGTTCCTGATCTCTTTTGAGAAATACAGGCATTATTGTTTCATGTGAGCAATTTTTAGATACGGCATGCATACACATGTGCTAAATGGTCGAGCGGAATTGATCTCAATCTGGGTACGTGGAAGTTTGGTGATCCTGTTTTAAGTTCACAACAAGCCTCATTACGTCGTAAAATGGACATTACGTCGTATCGGTCATTACGTCGTATCGGTTTTCAACAAAAGGAACAACATCTTAAGAAGAAAAGAACCAAAAGTAGTACGACCGATCCTGAATTGACACAACAGACGAAGGAACAACAATCATCATCGCCCTCATCAACGACTGGTAATAACAACGTCGCGGATTTGTAGAATAGTCGAAAAATCGACATCAGCGTCAACGTCAGTAGCTACATCATCGGTAACTCCAAAGCCGGTAGTGGCCTTGGCAAATTCGGTTATGTTTTTACCGTCTATATCAACATCTACTATATCGACATTATCTACTCCACCAATGAACATCTCCTTACCATCTACACAACATCAGCAACAGCACCGATCACTTACAGAAGAACAAGCGATACAACGCAACCGACTTAATTTTAGACAGCGTCGCGAAGGAGATTTGTAGTCCATCCCATTTATCATAGATTTACACTACAACAGGTCAAGGATTTTTTGGGATCCATCGGGTTATCGTGGAGAAGAGTAGTAATAGTACAACAGCAGTGGTTGCATATCGGTGTGAAAGGTTCCGATGATCTCCACAACCACGAAATATCCTTGCCGTTATTTTATTTTATCCGTCGACATTTTGGGCAATTGTTCGGAGCACAACAGAAACAACAAAGTCAACCGCGGCCGTAAATACTGGATAGGGATCGCGCTACAATTACAAGTAATTTTATTCAAGCAATAAACCGTTGGTCTTTTATCTATTCGTTAAGGTGCAGGAAACTCAAACTTTCAGTAAAATTTTTTTCGGCGTTTCTTTTACATCATTTGATAGAGCTTGAGCTGCTGATCACGAAAAGCATAAGAATCGTGATGCTTTTTCCGTACAATGACCAATACCCGATACGATCGGCCTACCGGGATAACCCTTTTTGTGAATTTTTGGGAGGATATAGAAGTTTGGTAGTTTTAGTAAAGCACGATGGCGTACCTTAGACGAAAATTTAGTAGGAATATGTCCTTGGGAGATGAGTTCATTTAATTTATCTTTCACATTTTGATATGTTTTCCATAACGGATTCTTGGGTAGACATATGTAATTACGTGTATCACGTAACAGCGTGTTTGCTTTTTCTTCATATACTTCTTTATTCATCATCACTGTAGCCTGTCCCTTATCCGCTTGCTTAATTACAATATCTCTGCGTTTCGCTAAGCCTTTCAATGCTTAATATTCCTCTTTATATATTATTATTATTTTATATTACTCTTTATTCGGGTAAAATGGATAAGTTGCCTGAACTATGGTATCACGTATCAACTTACTATTTAATTGCAGGTGTATATACCTGTTGGAGATGTCTTTAATTTCTTCTTCCAACTGTGCTTCAACTGAAAATTTTCTGGCTGGAATATATTTCAGCCCATATTGTAGAACTTTCAGTTCATGCATATCTAAGTACACACGGCCTATACTAAAGACAAAGTCCGACAACCTGCAAGGTTCACTGGGTGCTAAAGAAGGAAGTCAATTGGAACCCATACTACTCCCGGTACACATTGATAATTTTCTTCCTGATGATACGCTGGTGGTAAGATAGTTTTTATGTGTGGATGATTGTTCTGTATGGTGATGGACATTTTTAAGCAAAAAGAAAAACAGTCTTTGTCTCATTAAAACTCATAGGTGTAATAATGGATCGTTCATTTTAAGGGAATGCATTTGTATACGTGGTGAAGGACGAAATTGACGATACTATTAAAAACATGGGATACTTCCGTGATGCTTCTACAGATGATGAAAAACATACGGTATGCTCTCTTCGCACTGGCTTCAACTGTTGCAAAATTACCATCACATACAAAGTAAACGTCTGTAATGCCAGATTATCGATAGCTGGTGCCGCAACAGGGTCATTGTTTCATAAATCGTGTGCCCCAAATAATTTATAGTGGTTTGAAATAACGAACATTTAGGAGAGCTCAATGTAAAATTTGCCTTGTTTAAGACTGCTAAAATGTCATTCAATTGTTCTAAATGTTGTTGAAATGACTTGGAAAAAATAATGATGTCATCGATGTATACTAAACAATGATCCCATTTTTGGTAAACTAATAATTCATTCATGATGCGTTGAAATGTGGGTGGAGCATTTTTTAGTCCTTGAGCGAGCACATTGAATTCCCACTGACCATCTTGAACAATAAAAGCTGTTTTTTCTTTATCC